ACAGACCTGGGCAGCTATGCCCAGGGCCCGCCCCTCTAAGTCAACCTACCAAAGCCTTCACTGCTAGGGTGCACCTCCAGGCACTGGGACCTGGTTTGAGCTAGCTTACTGGGTCTTAGTCAGCGGCGTCACCCAAGCCAGGCCTGCTTGAGAGGGGAGTATGTGACTGAAGTCACTGCAGCATCCTGTTCTGGCTAGTCTGCCCAGTCCCAGTATGTCCTTTGCTGAAGCCTCCTACTCTATGGAAGGGTCCCCAATCCGCTCACTCACTGCAGGTCAATGCAGGGCTCCCGGCCAGTCCCACTGTCAACTCCATTCGCCACTTCCCACTCTCAGAGCTTTCGCGCCTCTCTGCTTGCCATGCCAATTGGGATGCAGCAGCGGCTGCAGGAAATTCAAATCGTGGCTTCCAGTGGTGCAGGCTCCAGCTTCCGCGCTGAGACCTTGTCCTGTTCCTGTTATAGCACTGGGATTGTGTTTCCAGTTGGTTTCTCTTAGTTTAGTTTGTTCCTGGGTTGGCAGGGTATATCTTCCCTTGCTTAGGACTTCTCGCCCCGCACCATTCCTGGATTTTAAGTGGGGTATCTTAGAGAGCCTCCGTAGCTGCTGCTATCTATCTGCCATGTTCTCCTGGATGTCTTTTCTGGTATTCTTAAGGGCCTCATAAATTTTATTTCCAATCATGTTACTCTCACAACTGATTATTTGTTGAATTCTTATTTTGTGCTCTGTTGGTTCATTTGGATATAGTCTGTATAGTCCAATTACTTATCATCTACTTCTGAGTGGAATAGATTGCTTGGTGAACAGAGAATGTGTCAGTTCTGTGGAAAGGATCTCTTCAAGATGCTATGTCATTCATAGAATACCAAGCCCAGGAGAGCTCAGAGAAAGTGATTTAGAAAAGGCTTTCATGAATAGCTAATAGGCTGAGTCATGAAGAGTCAGAGTTAGCCAGGTGAAGGCAGGGATGGGGCAGGGAGCAGCCAGCACAGCAGAGGCATGGAAGCATGAAAGCACTGTAGGCCTGAGGGGTACTGCTGCTGGAGTATCAGATAAGACGTTAGACTTGAGTGGAGGATGGGTCTTTATGAGCACCCCCAAGAGTTTAGCCCTGTTCCCTTAGCTAGAGTAGACAGGGAGATATTCTGGATTAGAGGGATAAAACTGATATTTAGGGACATTTCTGGGCCTAGGTAAGAGATGATCAGGGTTTAAACTGGGCCTCTGCCGCCCAGCTTTCCATCTAGGGTAGGAAGCTGGGCATGAGCCCTTCCACCTCACACTCACCCACCCGTCTCATCCCCTGTCCCCTTCTGTTCACAGCCATGACCCCTGAGTCTTTAACCTCAAGGTTGCATTTTATGTCATCTTTTTCTTTAACTGGTGGAGAACACTAAAAGCAGTATTAACCAATATAACGTGTCTGTCTGAAATCCCTCCAGTGTTTCTAGGCAATAACTTTGCTGTTTTGGCAGAATTGAGATGTACTATCTTTTAGTTTGTAATTGACCTTTTAATGAATTGTAGGTCTTAATCTTAGGGTCCACCTTTTTTTTTTAACTACAGACTTTGAAATACATCTAACTATTAAATCACTGGTCTTTTAAAAAAGATTTGTGAAGCATAAATACATACATATCTATGAAAGAAAAGAAAGAAAAACAACAATAAATATAAGATAAAAGCTCCATACATGGAATTAGTTTATTAGGATCATGGCTTGAAAATACAATTACTACAAATAATATTTTTTAAAGTAAAGAGTTGAAATTATAGTGCAACTTTGATGTAAAAATAAAAACAATATTAAAGTATACCATCTACTGTCTCATTTATCTTTGAATAATTTAAGCCAATAATTGATCTCAATTCCAAAACAGTTTTCCCAGATATGCTAAAAAGTTACTCCAAATAATAAGATGAATAGAATAATATAGAATCTTCCCTTGCCTTTTTTATTCAAGATTGTTAGATTTTTCCTCTTAGAAAAAAACATACCTACTATCCTGGTATTTTTGTTATCTCGCCACTGTCATAGTCAAATAGAAGCAGAGGTTAGGGGCTATGTCCAACCTCTCAATGAAACAATTCAAAAAAAGAATAAGGTTTTAAAAAGTGATTTCCATATATCATTTGGTAATACAGAGATTTTGGTATTTGTTATTAGAATTCACTTGATTTGTTTATAAATCATGCATTAATAATATACCGAAAATTACTGAGCAGAACCATGGCACACATAAACCGTCAGTAAATATTTATTGAATCTAATTCAAGTTCTCTAGTCTGTGATTCCCAACCAGCAGTGAAGATTTCCTTTGGGGAGGATGGTGTTGAAATTTCTGTGTTTCTCAAACCTCACCATTTCTCAGAGATTTTTGTGTGACCTGTCCTTCTCTTTGGATAGGAATATAGTGTGAGAGGGTGCTGGCTTATTCTCTGCCACCTGAGTTTGCTGAAGCAGAAGAAATGTAGTGAACCACTAAAAAGTGTACTATAAATTAAATTGTAGAAGTTTCAAATTTTGTTTGTAAGCTAAAGATTTTTAAAAGTAGGGGCAATTGGTATAACCTGGAAGCTAGTACATTGGAAAAAACTCAGGGAATCTGCTAAATTTAAGAACTCCCATGAGCCATAGATCATTAAAGTAAAATAAAGTAGATCCTTTCAGCAGAGAGCCAATATCACTGTTGATCTTAGCTAAATTTCTGCTATAAACCAAAGGTATAAAAAAGAATATAAACTCCTTTACACATTTTTCCCTGCCTAGCTACAGTAGTCCAGAAAGTAAGTAGTGAACATAAAAGGAAGTCATTAAGTAGAAGAGATGTGGGTATAAAACTGTAAGAAAATGTTTCACATTAGGTTGTCGTACACTGAAAGTATTAAGGTCCTTCCAAATGCTTCTTAACATTTTCCTTTCCATTTTAAATGCTGTTCATTTAGTGTTTCATGCGTATTTTTATCCTCAAAGCTAAGCTGAGTTCATTTTCTGTGGCTCATTTTTATGTAATAATAAGTACTGCAGTGTAAATAATGGGTGGGTGTGATTGTATCTATGCAGAAAAACTGTGTGGTAGTTCTGATCTATTGTGCGCTGTTAGACCAATTAAGTATCCTAAAGGCCATGTATGATTAAAGAGGTATATGGACAAACTGAATGTGTTTAGAGAGAAATGGCCTAGAAGGAAAAAGGACATAAGTAAACCGACACATAAAAGAACTTAAAGATAAAAGGCCATATATTTAGACTCAGAAGAGAGACTAAAATGCAACTATGTCACTTGTTCTTTGTGACAGCAAGTAAGTTGTTTTTCCTCTCTGAATTTGGTATGATTTGTAAAATGGAGATACAGTTCCTATCCTAACCTCACACGATTGTTGTGAAAATTAAATAAATAATGTGTGTCAAAGCCCTGAGTATACAATATACTTTGAAAATGTTAGTTTATTACTGTTGATTCTTAAAGATGTTGGGTCACAGGAAGTAAGCTGACGTTGTTGACATATGTTTAGCAGTATGGGAATTTATTCACACATGGACTGATTCATATAAAAAGCAAAGATACTACCCCATCCTCTGGCAGTATTTAGGTACTGTATATATGTGGCTGAGCCTGTAAAAGGGACAAAAACCATACTACGGATGGTTCAGATAGATCACATTTAAGATCTCTTTCATCTCTTATTCCATGATTATAAATACTCCAGTGTTTTCTGTTTCCCTGAATGTGTGTCCATTTTTACCTATATTAGCATTCTATAAGCCAAAATTCCCTTTTCCACATGACACTTTACTAACTTCTTTGTTCTACCTTTGGGATATTCTTTATTATTTTCTTAGTATTGTTCTCTGTATTGTTATATTGGTTTTCTTTTGGAAAGATTCTACTCAAAACCTATTCATCTCTTCATGACACCCTGCCATGATCAACTTTGTCTGGTCCCACCTGAGCCCAAGTCTCACTCCCTTAACTTCACTTAACATCTGTTGATGTAATAAGTACATCTATCATGTTCTTATACCTTCACGAAATGAAAACAATTAAGGCTCTCCATTTACGATTTTGCACACAGATAGAGCTGTCTCTTACTCCAAAATTGCTTTTTTAGAGACAGAGCTTATTTTTATTATAAGGAAGTTTGATTACTTACCTTCCTAACCTGTCTTCTTTACCTACTTCTGACTACAAATTATTAACATAAGAATATTATTTCATTATTTTAAAATTTTGGTTACATAAATAAGTTAAATTTTGGGAGCTTCAGAATTGTTTTCTCAAACTGAGAAAATATTTAATAAATTATATTTGCTTCAATTACTATTTTAAAAATATTTAAATAAAATGGCAAGGAAAATCTTTAAGTTACTTCAGAGGAAATACTTTTAGCTCACTTTTTTTTTTGAGGCAAGGTCTCAGTATGTGGTTCAGGCTGGCCTGGACTCTGTGTGGCCCAGACTGGCCTCCCAATTTGTGATAATCGTACCTCAGCCTTTCAAGTGCTGGGATTGCGGGAGTGCACCACTCCAGCCAGAATTTTCACTTATTTTTGAAACATTCATCAAAAAGAAACAAATGGAATATGAATTGAAGATTACATTTATTCATAATAGAATAATGACTTTAGTAGCCTAGCTAAGACTAATATTTTCTTTTGAAGTTACAAAGAAACTATTCACTACTTAGGTTGGTCTCTTATACCGCTATTCTGAATTGTATTTTATATCTATAGGTAGTATGTAATAATAAATTCATGATTTTTATTTAATTTCATAAGACCTTAAAAAAACATCTTAAAGTTGCATCTTCTACAATTTAATACTTGTTTTTGTTTCTCGTATAAAGACATGGTAACTAACATGTTTATTTTGGTGTATCCACAAAATCAGTTTGCTTAAAACACAGATGAGCTTCATAACTTCTGCTGTTTGCTATCTTTTGTAAACTTAATTTGTACCCACACTAATTTTTTTTTTTTTTTTTAACTTTGAAAAGCCTTGCAGTGAGAGAATTTCTTTGTCTGGATGATCCGCCAGGTCCATTTGATAGCCTAGAAGAAAGCAGGGTAAGTGCTGTTTTATATATCAAATGAAAGAGGAATTAATACAGTACAATAACTACATTATTCCTCAAATGGAATAACAAACAGCAAAATATTATTGCAGACTGCAGTAGTTTTACACAAATTTTTTAATATATTAGCCAAAGATTTGTTTCTTTAAAATATGTGGAAGTTATACATGCCATATAGAAGATCTAAAATAAAGTCCTTTCTTTCACTGTTGCAAAACCCAAAAATTTTTCTGGAATTTAGCTTCACTTCATTTAATTGTATTATTTGTACGTTGAGCTTTCTTTCATCTAAGTATCTGTGAACCTACAATTAAAATCAAACCTACAATTAAAATCAGACAGTTAAAATCAAACGTACCTCCTCAGAGGTGGAAGTGATTTTCTGTTATCAGTTTAGCTTGTGTTTGATGCTATTCAGATTACATTAGTTGACATGGTAGAGTGACCTATTTCTTGAAGCAATGGGCTAGATTTACAAACAGATTTGGTAATAATAAGTTGGATTTTATGCAAGTTTTCCCCCAGATGATATTTAATTGGTAAAAACTTAGCTGGTAAGGTGTATGATGTTTTTCAGTTAAACTGAGACAGTTCGTCATGTTGGCCTGACTAATACAGCTTTTTTAAAAAACAACCTTATTGAAGTAAAATCTTCATCCATAAAACTAAGCCATTTGTTTTTAGTCTATTGTAAATTTATATTTTAATAACTGTATAGGCTGTTTCACCATCATAATCCTGCTGTATTCTCATCACCTCAAAAACAAAAATTTGTTTTTTTAATTTAAAAAAAAAAAAAGAATAAAAAAAGACAAAATCTCAGAACAAAATAATAGGAAATTAACAATGGCGAATATATTGCATTTTGTTTTCTTCAAAGTAGTTGTTCCAGTTACAAGATACAGACATGAAAAATTGATCAAACAATGAAAGCACAAACCATCCTTTTTTATAAACTAATACAGATTAATAGTATAACTATCTATCTTGTGCATATGTATAATCTTTTCCCTACTTTCTTTTCTCCTTTCTCCCATTCCTTTCACAATATGTATTACACATTTTGGATCTTACTTACTCTTTCAGTTTTTTACACTAGGGAAACAATACAGTGTTTACACATGCATGTCTGGTTTATTTCTCTTATGAGTATGAGTAAGTTGCATCCATTTACCTATAAAAGCCTGGAGTTTCTCGCTCCTTATAGCTAATCAGTACTTCATTTTATAAAAATACCATATCTTTTTTATTCATTCCTCAGTTTATGGGCATTTGGAGTTTCCAAGTTGTAGCTATTAAAAATTGTGCAACTATAAACATAGGTGCACATATGTCACTGTAGTATGATGTTTTCAGTTCTTCTGGGAAAATGGCCAGAAGGCGTATAGCTGGGTTCAGTAGGACCTCCAATACTAGTTTTTTGAGGAACCTGCACACTCACTTTTGCAGTGGTTGTAGCAGTCTATACTCCCACCAAACAATTTCTGTAAACCATTTTACATACCCAGCCCAAGAAGCCATTAATCTTTCACTCTCTACATATTTGTCTTTTCTAAATATTTCATATACATAGTGTTATAAATGTCTACATACAGATATGTAGATAAATAAATATAAAACTAGTATATGGTATTTATAATCTTCATCTAGCATCATTTATAGCTTTTATTGCTGTATGTTTTATTACTAAATGATTTTCCACTGTATGCATGCACATATATCACAACTTTCTTTATCCAGTTACCCATTGAGAAATTTGCATTATTTCCAGTTTCATACTATTACAAATAATGCTGTGAACAATTTCATAGAAGTAGGCATGTGTTTTCATTTTTCTTGAGTTAATATTCAGGACAGAAATTGTTTGATCATACAGCAAATCTGTGTTTATCCTTTTAAAAAATTGATGCACTGTTTTCTAAAGTGATTGTACCATATTACATTCCCACTACTAATATAAGATTGTTTCAGTTTCAAAAATATTTGATATTACCCACTTTCATTTCTGAATGATACCTTCACTGACAGGTGTTTTCTTCCAGCACTTTGAAGGCATTGCACTGCCTTCCAGCATTAATTGGTTCTGATGATAAAGTCAGTCTTTAATTATATTGTTGTTTCCATGAGTTGTTTACCGTCTCCTCTTTCAAGATCTTCTCTACCTTCGACCCCCAACAATTGGATTATACGTTATGGAGATGTGAATCTCTTTGTTTATCTGACTTTGTCTTTTTAATTTCTTGGCAGATAAATGCCCTACATCAGACTTAGAAATTTGTTAGCCATTATTTCTTCAAATATTTTTTTCAGTCCCGTTCTCTTATCAGCTTTGGGACTCCCATTTCTTGGAAACTTGTATGCTTCATGTTGTGCCACATCTCTGAAGTGATGCTCATTTATCTTCATTTTTTTCTCTATTCTAGAGACTAGATAATTTCTGTTGATCTGTCTTCAAATTCATTTTTCTGCTGTGTCAAATCTTGTTAATTTTTCATTTCTGTTATTTTTCAAATCAGGACTTTCCATTTGCTTATTTTTATCATTGTTTCTCTTTATTGACTAACTCTATTGGGTAATAAAAGTCTCTAATGCATCATTTTGCGTCATTTAATATATGTAACACCGGCTTTAAAAATTATGGTCCAGTATAGCTAATACTTGAGGATATTCTGAGTTACCTTTTTTCATGAGTGTGCTTAGATTTGCTCGATTTCATGTCTCATAATTTTTTGTTGAATCCTAGACATTTTAGGCAATGTATTTTGACAACTCTTGGTTCAGACAGGTTGTTATTGTTCTTTTTTGTCTGTTTAGTAACTTGGCTAAACTAAATCTCTGAGTTTGTCTTCCCAGCAATATGTGGTCTTGCTTCTGGCCATTTTGTTACTTTGATCTACCATTTGTTTAGAGATTTGGCATCCTATTGTAAGTATATATTGAACTAAGGAAAATAATTGCTTATCATTTCTTTTCTACTTCACATATTCCATGATTTCATTTCTTTAAATGTAGTATCCTTCCTGTAAGAAATTTTTGCATGTACTATTTTTTTTTAAGAATTTATTATATTTTCACTATCTTTTAGTTTGAAAAACACACTGGCTACTGCAGTTAGGCATTATGATTGGATAAGGAAAATGTGGAAGTTAGTTTGAGCAAGAGTTTCTCAACCGCCACACTATAGGCTTTTAGGCCTGGGTAAGTCATTATAAGAGAAGTTCATTGCCGAGTATCCTGGGTTTAAAGTTACCCTCGGTTTGAAACAATTTAAGTAATCATCAAAGCTGTATTAAATTTACATGCTTAATAAAGTAATATGAAATATATCTCCCAGAATCTTCCTCAGCATTTTCCAAAACTTTACTTGAAAATAAAGTTCATTTGAGTAATAAATACAAGCAAATTCTATGCTAGATCTTCTTCAAACTAAAACATACAGTGACCTTGTAAGATATATATCTATGTATTATGGGAATCTTTTATGCAGGCAGTGTTTCACTGTGTAGTTCATACTGGCCTTAAATTCACTTTGTAGCCTTGGCTGGCCTTGAACTCATAGTGATCCTCTTGCCTCATCAGCCTCTTGAGTGCTTGAGATTACAGTCTGAGATGTTCTTAGGTACCCTCTCATTTTAAGAAAAATTCTAAAATGACTTATTAATCCATATCTTGTGGAGTATAAAATTAAATTTATTCAAAGAATAATGAAATTTCAAAAGTCTAGTAAATCTCTCTTTAGCCTTGTCCTCCCAGTACTCTGTTGAAGGCAGTCGTTTCTTTCCCCTCATGTACCTATACTAGAAGAGATTAAAGCCAAGGACATAAATTTAGTCTACATTTTGGGAAATTCAAATCTACTATTAGTATCAGTATAAAATAGTTGAAAGAAATGAGATTTACTACACTGGCATTAATGAATAGTTTATAATTAGAATGAATTATAATTAACTTTAAAGAAACTTTTGTTCAAGTAACTAAAGCCAAAATCCTTAAACTTTCTATTCTACACTTAAATTCCAATCTTCAATTATTCTGCATTAATAACTGTTTTCTTGTTCCTATTTTTGAGAAATTTGAAAGATTGTTGACACAATCTGAGTTATACAATGAATCTGTTTTTTAGAATCATTTGTTAGCATATCTTCCAGTATCAGTGGAATAATATGAACTCTTATCAAAGAGGAAAATCATATACATCATAGAGTTTCCTTTAATTAACAGAAGGGAGACAAATAATTTTTATGATTTCATTATTAGAGCTAAATATCTCCATCAGTGTGTTAGGAAAACTAAGGCTTTTAAAGTACTGCTTCCTACTCGTGTATACATCTTCCCTAAGATTCCTTAGTGGAGTGCTTTTTATTCTTGGAAGAAACTCAAGGGCTTATATAAGGTATGTATAAATATGTCCTACAATTTAGCACATAGTCCTCAAAAGTGGAATTGTAAGTAAAATATGTTCTTCAAATTCACAACATATGCTTAATTACTCCCCAAATTTGATAAATTAGTTTGTACTTTTACCAACAATATATTTTCCCATTGCTCCATAGCTTCACAAATTGTATTGTCAGTCTCTTAATTTTAGTCTAATTTTCTTGACTACCGGCTGATATAAAATGTAGCTCTTTAGGACTTCTGTAAATTTCCTGTCACATACTTTGACATGTTTTTTGTGATTTTTGTTCCTCCCCTACAACTCAGGTCATAAAGATATTCTTCAAAAAATTTCCCTAATAAGCTTAAACTTTGCCTTTTCACATCAGGTTATTTAATTGTTATTCTTTTTGTGCAAGTGGTCATCCATCTCAACATCATTTATTGAGATGTTCATCCTTCCTTTATTTGTTAGAAACTCTTCCTCAATCCTAAGTCATTTGTTACAACTGTTTGTAGTCAGTCAGCTCTGTCCAGTGTGTTTCTCTGTCCTTCTGCCAGTAGTATACTACTAATTACTGTAGCTTCTTAAACCTTAGTGCCTGGCAGAGAAAGGGTTCTCTGCCTTACTCTTCTTCAAAATTCCACATTACAGTCATGTATCACTGGCTTCAGAATTCATCACACCCAGTTCTAGTAGAATTCTGATGAGAAAGATCATTCCAGATTCCGGCCCCGTGTGTTCACTGAGGACCTGTCCAGCTAGCTGGAACTTGTCTGAGTCACCATACAGCCCCACGGAAGAAAATGCTTTTATCACATGTTTATATAATTAATTGCTTTTCTGTGTTTTAAGTTTCTGTATTGTAAGAGAACCTTCTAATAATACCCCAGTAAAATGTGAAACTTTTAAAAGAACTTTCACAGCTTATTTCTTTCTGATCATATTTTGTCTTTGGAAAAATTCATTTGATACTCATTGGCTTTGGCAGTGCCACAGTGAATTAATAACGGGTACCAGAGTACCACAGTATTACTGTTATGTGTTTGATTTTATGTATTTTTTATGTCACATCCTTCTGAAATCTGTCTGTAGTTTTTAGATCGTTTTGGATTTTCTGTATAGTCAATCATATTCTCAACAGTATGAACAATTATATTTTTTCCTTTTTTTATCTCTAATATCTGTCATTTCATTTTCCTGTATTACTGGACTGGCTTGGTCTTCTGTAGGTAAATTAAAGCCATTATGGTAGACATCCCTTTCCTCCATAACTTTAAAGGAAATGATCCTGTGTTTCACAATTAGATAGGGTGTTATCTATGAGCTGTTAGTAGTTCTGAATTAAGTTTATTTATTGTCCTTATTTTTGTTGTCAGGATAAGGAAGCCATGTATTTCTAATTTGCTAAGTGTATGTCTGCATTATTAATGCTTTTATTAGCATTCATAACGATGATAATCAGAGGTTTTTTTCTTTGATTTTTAAAGTGGCAAATTAATTGTAGATTTTTCGGATGATAAAAAATTACTTATTTGTGAGATTGAGAAATTCAGCATATTTTAATTGAATGATAGTGATTTTACTTAGAATTTTTGAGTCTGTAATTTTCCTTTTACTGTCAGCATTGAAATTTCTGACAAGATAATATCAATTTTCTAAGTTTTTGTTCATCAGAACTGTTTAAGTAGGATTGCAATGATATTATTCATTCTTAAGTGTACACTAGCACTTGCATGTAGGCCTGAGTCTGGTGTTTTCTTCAGTTTGTTTTCAGTTTTCAGATTTTTAACAACTGTTCTTGTTTCTTTAATGGCTGTCCTGCATTCAGATTATCTGTTTTGGAGGAGATCAATTTTGATAGTTTATATTTTTCTGCAAATTAACAGTATTGTCTATATTTTAAAATACATTTATGTAAAGTAGGTCATAATATAAGCACATAAATTTTTTTTAAATCTTACTATAATATATATCTACTTCCAGGTTCATTGGCTTACTACTATAATAATTATAAAGAAAAGAGACCTGTAATTATAAGTCTCCATGGTGCACAAGGACTAAAATGCCAAAATAAATCTAAAAACTGTAGAAAATAAATCATTTAGATTGTATACATACTATTTTAGCTTCAGTAATGCATTTGAGAAAGATATTATATCAGTAATTAGTTGTATTCTCTGTGTGTGTGTGTGTGTGTGTGTGTGTGTGTGTGTATTTAAGGCTTTCTGTGAAACTTTAGAAGAGACCAACTACCATTTGCAGAGAGAACTACTTGAAAAACAAAAAGAGGTGGAATCCCTGAAGAAATTGCTTAATGAGAAGCAACTTCACATTGACACCTTAGAAAACAAAATCAGGTAAGGATGATGCTCATGTTTGTAGTCTTACTAAGTCAGCTCCCAGTACTCTGGGCCAAATGTCCTTCGTATTTTAATATGATTTACCATGTTTCTCAATCTGAAAGTTATAGAATCCTGGCCTTGTAAATTGGAAAAGTTGTCTTTATATTTAATTTAGGAAGCTGCACATTTGAAGGGTGGGAAACATCAGCTAAATCAACATTCCATTGTTCAGCATCAACACGAGCCATTGTAATGCATCTAAATGGCATTTTTGTTTGTTGACATATATGCTAACTTTTCACATGTGAAAGTTCTGATATATCTTTATATTAGCATATCCTAAATCAATTATAGCTATGGATTTCCATGATGACTCCAATGGAGAGCAGCTAGCCGTATAACCACATTAGACATAACACCTGAAAACCACAATCACTACATATGTCCACAGAAATGAACATTATTCATGGAAAATAACTTTTTGCTTTTAAACATACTTTTAGAACATTGTCTCTAGAACCTGAAGAATCATTTTATGTGTCCGAAACAGAAAATGGACAGATCCTAAGGGTGGAGTCCTCTGCATTTACAATTGACCAAGATGTCTTAGATGAAGAATCTAGGTACATAATGTTAACTTTATTGTAGCCTAATCATTTAAATAGTTGCAAAGAAATGATTCTCTGTATGTTTTATACTCTATGTGCTTTATGAACTTGCTAGTATTATATCATGAACTGCTGAGTTAATAAAGACTGTAAACTAAATTCTCTCTAAAAATATCTTTGTCATCAATCTGTATATTTTGAAGCAATGTTGGATTAACTGGGTTTTGACAAAGTTAACTGATTAGTTTTATAAAACTTAAATTAATTTCCCTCAATATCACCCATTTTCCATTCAAAAAGTAGAATGCCATAATAGCTACCATCCTGTCTAGCTCATAGGAATGATGAAAAAATAATTTATTTAAAGCACATAGAATTTTTATTGCATACCTATCAGGGTAATTATTAATACTTTAGTGGTAATATCTCCAAAAGTATTACTGGATACCTGTTATTACAAATACTAAATTTCTGATAAAATGTTATTACATATATATTAAATATTTAAACATATATATTAAATATTTTCCATGGATAAAAGATTTTTTAAAGTAATACTAAATGGTAAAATAGCATACATCGAGTCTTTCACTGACACATTTCTCTTTTTTTTACAGAGCTGATAATAAGCTACACTTAAGTTTCAGTGACCCTGAAAATGCCCTATCAGAAATAGAAGTGGCAGAAGTGGCATATAATGCTGAAGAAGACTAACACAGTGCAAGCATTTCCCTCCATTTGAACACATCAGCAAGTTTAGAATAGAGTGGCAGATGCCATTTGAAAAGAAAAGACTGAAACAGTTACAAAAAAGAATTTAAATATATGAAGTTTACATAAAATTTTTCTAAATTATTGGAGTCATAAATATATTCACTGCTGCTTTTGTCTTTTATCCAACCTTGTATTTAATACACTGAAAAAAAAAATCTAGCTAGAATTCTGTACCCAATGCCCAATTCTTAAATACTGTGCATAAATTATTATGGTGTTTTGCCTATAATGTTGCTCCAAACTAGGTTGTGTGCCTGTGTGTCTGTTTGCACCTGTTTTAAATTGCCAGTTATATTAGTCAAATGGAAATTAATTGCATGTTACTATCTGTGTGATACTTCTTTGTATCTGTAATATGAACTGTTTTCATTAATGGCTTAAATCATTGAACATATTAAAGGTAAAGATGAAGTGAGCATTTAATGTTGACATGTTTGTCATCTCTAAATAAAAATAACTTTAAAATGTTAATATATAAAAGAATAAGATGATTCTCTTAGTACCAAAGGAAAACTATTTTAAAGAACTGTTGTCATACAGCTAAAGTGCAAAATAGCCTTGATTTTAAAATCCAATTCGTAATATCAAGATACTGTAAGTATCCTAGTTTATTGCTGTTACAGCTTATTTTCTATATTTTAGATTTCTACCTGTAGATTCAGTGAGTTTTCCTCTTTCGGAATACTACCTCTTTTTTTGCTAATCAAGGCATATTCTTTAGGAAATATAGATTCTAAGGTAGTAAACGCTTAAAAAACAATAAAAAGCCATATATACTACTAATTCTGTAACTAGCTTGACACTTGGCATTGCGTTTTTATTTCTGTGGTTATGAAGATGTTGTTGTATGTAGTTGGCTAGTTTTCTTTTAAATATATTTCGCCAAGTGATGCACTTTATAATTAAACTACTTTGTGCCAAGTTTAATTGGTGAATTTCTTTAATAGGGTACTGAACTGGATGAATTATGTAGTGCCTTTACTATTTCCTTTTTACAAACATCCTTTAGGGTGTGAGTCAACTTCACAAAAATGTTTATGCTTGTTTCAGCTCTGTGATATTTATCAAAAGTGCCTTGTTTCATTTTTATAGTATGAAGTTATTTGTTGATTCTCTATTTCTACTGTTTTGCATATTGCTGTTAATATATATTGCAGTGATAGCATTTGAAATCCCAGCTGGTATACTGAACTACATAAGCTTTATAAAACCTGAGAAAACTCTACTGGGGAAATAGAATAACAATCTTTGAGGGTTTGTTTTTCCTACTTTGTTACCTAAAAGTTTACCAGTATCTTACTGTGCATATTGATGTGTGGCTGTTTAAAATTCTACTGACATAAAGCAACACATCCAGTGGATGTTATTAACCTTTGTTCTTAAAAGGAGACTATACCAAAGTACCCAGATTTTAGGTCTGTGTCAGAATACACAAGTATTCTGGCTAAGAACATTTTCCACAAAGCATATTAGAAATGTGTTTATTATTTTTAAAGGCAGAAATAAATATAATAAACTAGTGTGCTTATTCATTTTTAAATTATTCTAGGCTTTAAAAAAAAAGCATATTGTGAACAATCACTTAAATTAACACTAATTGATGTTAATAGTAAAACAAGATGATCTTTGCCAAGTGCCGGGTAAGTATAGTGCTACATGTCTGTCTGAAAGGGAACCACATATTTTAAAATGACATTTTTAAATTAAAGATTGTATTTAAAGTTTTGAATGGAGGGAAAGAAACTATTAATTAGGTAAACCGCTATTATTTATATTTAGAATTTACTTTTTTACTTGTATATTGCATTTTGCTCTCAGTATTATATTCATTTAATAAATTATTTTTTCCATTACAACAGTAGCTGTGTCTTCCAGTGTCGAATACCATATTCTCCTCTACTTTCTGTGTTTTCCCTCTCCCTAGGATTACTGTAAATTGAATTGTATCTAAAAGCCGTATATCACAGATGTGGAATGAGTCTGTGATTTTCTAAGTTTCTGTTTTATTTCATTGATCATCTTTCAGAAGCATTTGTGAATAGGTGCAGTGCACTTCAAATGTAACCAATATTAATTAAAAAATTGTAACTAAATTTTGTGTATGATCTTATAACTTAAACTTTTAAGACTTAAGCTCATGTATAGATAGTGCAGCCATCCAGCATAGCTTTTTAAAATGTGTTTCATCTGCCTGCCACTCTGAGACCGCCCACTTAAAGCACATTTATTTAGAAAGCTGTTCCTTAGAGTATCATCTATATAATATGGCTCAGCAGTCTGATACTAGAAGTCTGGTTCTAGGTCCTGAAAATAATTTGTCTTATTTTGAAATAGATTTTATTACTTATAGAGGACTTTGTGAATTACACTAAAATTCATATACTCAACTACTGCAGACAGAAATCCTAATATCATCTTAAGTGACCTTCAGAGGGCTGCGTAGTGAAGCACATTGCTGTTCATCGCATTGCCTTTACTGCATTCTCCTTTGTTTTTTGAGCCCTCGACTTTGAATAGCAAAAACAATCATTGAAATTTAAATTTTCAGTGTATGTGTTTTTAAGACTGACAGCTGCTATTTCACAGAAATCCCCTATGTGAAGATCCCAGGAGGAGTCTCTTCCACCCACTAGTAGTAATACCTGTTCATTTCTTGACCAGTTAATTTGTTTTTAATCTTAAAAACTGTTACTCTCTTAAACTCTTTGTAAAAACCCTAAGCCAAATTATATTCATCTAGAGCTGTTGTATAGGCTTGTATAAGTCATACTTTTGTGTAATAATCATGAACTTGTTTGTTATTTCTTAAGCCCCAAATTTTTTCCTATTTAAGTTAGTCCATTAAAATGCAAGTCTTTTTATTCTGACATTTAAATGACATTTTAGACTGCATATACTAAGAATTTGTCTGTACTTGGTCTGACACTATTACCACCACAAATAAGTGAGGCCAGTGATTACAAAAACTGAATCCTTGCATTTTTGGTGTTTGTTTTTGGTACCAGGGATCGAACTCATGACCTCGTACTTGTCAGGCAAGAGTTTATGCTGCTGAGCCAAATCCCCAGCCCAAAAATGCATTTTTGAATTTGAGTAAGATCAGTGAACATGAAATGCAAATTTAGATATGCTAGCATGTCGGAAGCTATAGTTAGGTTTCTGGCCAGAAATTAACAATTACAGATAAAATCATGACCATGGCTTTAACTACAGCCCCAAGTTCAAACAGCCACTTTCTCATATTCATTGTTCACAGGAAAGAGCACTGTCTTCTCTACTCAAAATAGTGCAGCCAGTGTATGTTCAATAAGTGCAGGTGGGTGCTTTAGGATAGTAAATACTGGTGAGAATAAGTATTAGCCATAAATAACAATGTTTACAGTCTAGTTGTACTCAAACTGGCATTGGCACTAGTCACATCATGCCTAAAGTCCTTCGCTGAAGTGCGATACATGGAAACCCTTCCATGGAGTTGTTAAGCCTAACTGAAGGATTCCATCTAGAATTAGTTGATCTGCTAGTCTAAACTTAACAGTTCCTTTGGGCAGCTGGCACTGTTCATTGGCTGACCCAACAAATATTTATTTGCTTCCCTTTTCTGCTTTACTACTGCCATAATAGGATCTGGAAAAAACTGTCTTCTCAACTCCTCGCAGGCTTAGATTTGAGTCTGTGTTGTTGCTGTGGCTGAGGAGACAAATGGGAGTGTAGGGTAGATCCCAGATCTTTTCTCATCAGCAGATGATTGCCTACAGATGCAGCCCATCTCCTTCCTCTTGTTTTGACCTCACATGATTTTCAGTGGTGTTGCAGCAACTGATTTGCAAAATAAAGTCTGAGCAACAGAAAAGAGCAAAGAATCTTAGTCTCCAGCCACTCTTTAAGCCCGTGAGTATAAGCCAGTTTGTGTTTGGTTTGTGAATTGTCAATTCAAGGGGAAAAGGCTTTTCAAAAAAAAAAAAATTTCCTAACTATTAATGATACTGTACATTTTGTCAGCAAGGAAAAAGTTTAAAAATTCCTGAAAACTAAAGGAAACAGCATCTATTAGACATATCAAAAGTCCCTTCTAAGGCTTCTAGAAAATGAAATATGTATGACACAAAACAATTTTTCAATAGAGATATATCTAATACCCATGTAGTAGGTTTGCTTGACCTGTTAAAAAATACCACAAACTAAATGGCTTAAACCACAGAAATTTTACTTTCTTGTAGGTCTGGAGGATGAAAATTCAGGTCAAAGTGCTGGGAAGACTGGTTTCACTCAAAGGCCCTCTTGTAGGCAGCAACATCTGGCTTGTGTTCAAATTACCTCCATGTGAGTTTTGAACACATAATGTGAAACATCTTACAAGGCAATCAGTCAAGTCAGATCAAGGCCTCGCCATTATGACCTCATTTAACCTTAATTACTTCCTTAGAAACCCGTCTCCAAATAGGACCACATTGAAAGGCTTAAGTCAACAAATGAATGGAGAGAGTGTATGTAAACATGCAGTTCATATTTGTACACTCTGGCTGTAACATCATTAAATGTTTGCAAAGATAGCCCTCAATTCAAACGATTAGATAGCTTATTCTTTCATCTATTCATTTAATAAATACTGAACCTCCATTGTGTTTTGGCTCTGAGTTGTAAAAATTATTAAGAGACTTATGTTCTTTCCAACTGAGTTCAAAATGATACAGGCTGGTCTGTATAAAAGAAGGAGCATCCATCTAGAACAAAATTTACATTTTATTAGCAAAGGAAAAAGAGAAAAGTTGTTTCTCTTTTAAGCTAAAGGAGAGAGAAATGTTTTTTCTGCCTACCAAAGACTCCTGAACTCTTAGACTCCTTCAGAAAATATATGTTTGTGCTGTGGTAAGCCTGGTGAAAGAGTTATTCATGGTGAAAGCCAGGAATGATGGCAAAGATGAGCAAAAAGTACAAGTCTACACTTTCAAGTAGAATGTAGAGCGTGCCAAGCAGAAGGGTGGACTTCAGCCTGGTCACGTGTACCGCCCTTCCCATTCATCACATCAAGTATAGCTCTGGAGTGGACTTACCCAGTGTGATGCTTCAGGGAAGAACACAGCAATTGTGATACCTTAAACATATGATTTTAATTTATTGTGCATAAGTATGTATTTGCTTGCTAATATTCTGCTAAAAGTCCAAAGCCTTTCTGTGAGTGCTTTCACTAAAGACAGTTTCGTCTCTTTTTGGCAAACCGTAACCCTAGCGAATTTTCTGATTACCAGATTTAGTGTCTGTAGCATTACAACAAAGATATGTATGGAGGAATCTATGACAGCAGAGCTCAGTTCTTGCTTTTTTTTCCCCCTCAGCAGTTTTGTGCTGCAAACTTGCCTATGATTTTACCAAGTCTAAAAATTCCTTGACCTAGTTTATGTCTTGCACTCTTACTTCATTATTTCATAGTACTATAAATTCTTTAAAATTTAATTTTAAACCTGGCTGGTATACACAGATTTGGAAGCAAAATTGATTCTTGGTAATCATACATCTCCTTGTGGGTCAGAGAAGAGCAGGAGCCATGAGCGCGCAGGGTTCTGTGGTTCTTAGTGAATATGTTTTATAGAAAGGACAGGGAACTCCAGCAGATCAATGCAGTGTGTGTCCCAGGCTGAGGGGCAGGATGATTTACCTTACCCTTTAGTCTATCCAGTTTTCCTTATCTCCACTGGCATCAGTCTGGTCCCACCATGAACACGTCCTTATGTAACCACTACAACAGCCACAACTGACCTCCCCACTTCCACCTCCGTCCTGTTACGGTCTGTTCCTCCACAGCAGCCTCAATGTTCTCTCTGAAAATCTTAAATCTTACCTTGTTTTCTCTCTTCCTGAACTATTCAGTGAATTCCCAGGTGCTTAAAATAATACACAACGCAGGCTTCTTTATAAGGCACCTAAACGTGGTTTCACCTCTGCCAGCTGCTCTCTGCTGTCAGAGCATCCTGAGCACAAGGCTGAAAACTCCTTCTGGCCAGTCGAGTTGTCCCGTCTCGGCACTATTTCCAGACTCCACCCTTCAAGTCGTAGGTTAGATTTTTCATCTTCAGATTGCCTAAAGTGATCACTTGAATACCACATTTATTTACTTTTTTTCTGTTTCACCTCCCAGCTCTCACACCCTCCAAAGGGTGCTTTGTCTATTTTTCTCTAATTTTTGACTCTTTTGTGCCTTAGAAGGGGTTCTATCATATAGTAAGTGTTCAATATTTGTTGGGCGATTAAGATTACAACAGCCTGAATGAATTAGTAAAGAAAATGCAAGTCAATAGTAAAAGATATCTTTAAAGAAAATTCATGTCTTGGAAATTGATATTCTCTGAGTAGACTGTTGTGCCTTACAGGGTAAGGAAGTCTAAGTGGACAGAGTAGATTCCCTTTGGGCCATGCTAATTCAGCAATACTACAGGCAACCCAGATGGAACTCTCTAGCAGGCACACAGATGCAGCTGCCAAAATTCCAGGCAAATGTCTACTTTAATAGAATTGAAGTCAGATTAAAGACACAGTCTTCCCCCTCCTGTTTGTCATACCTCTTGCTCATAGCACTGTGGTCTAGACCATACGTTATCAGAACTAAAACAAGAAAACCAGAAATGCATGATTCCACATTCCATGGTGAGAAGCACCATGGAAAGATGCCTAATGGCCCACATGTCTCATCCAGCTGATTTGTTTTCCATCCCACAAGTGATTTGTTACAGATCATGTTGTTTCTACCTTCAGAAGAAATATAATAATAATACAATATCACAAAGTTTCACACTTGTTTTTTGTTTATTTTAATAATTGGAATTTAAAGCAGTTTAAAAATTCAACTATAGTAAATAGTAAAATAAAAAACCGTATCACTGATAATCAAAGAAATATGAGAAATCTATATCTATACAATATATTATCTAGAACATATTAGCTGAGAATTTTTCAATGGCGTTTTGAGTATAGTATGAGGAAATTGGGTCAGGGATATAGGTCAGTGACACAGTACCTGCCTGGCAAGTGAAAGGTTATGGTACAAAAAAAAAAAAAAAAATTGACCTAGTATGAGGAAATTAACTTAGCTCACTATGGT